TAATTACTTATTATTCAATATTTTTAATACTGAAAATAAGTAATTATCAATGATTTTTAGTATGATATTTCTATAAGGGTCCCGCAAATGCTGCTTAGTTAACACAAAATTTGATATATTCAACACAGTAAAAAAACAGGGATTTTGTATGAAACTCAAAGCGATATAAACTGAATATTATTGACAGATGTCTAACCTCTTTAAAACCACCGAAATAAGCTATTACTATGAAACATTCATAACAGCCAGAGCTTTCTTTTGAAAACGAACCGAACTAATTTGTACTCCCAATAACTTGCATATTTTTTGGACTCTCCCGATTGATTATTAATGTTGGAGTCAAAATAAATATTTTTACCAAAAGAGCTGCAAAAAAATATCAAAATTCGAAAAAGATCTTATTATACATAAGCTTGGTTTACATCGTACACTTGATACGCGTACTAAATAGTAACTTTCTATTAGATAATCTTAATATTGACGATATATATAATCAACGGTATATTAAGCTGGTATAATACTCATCAACAAAACGTATTGTAATGATTGAATGCGTCGCCATTGATATGCATTGTCGATATTAAGATTATCTAATAGAAAGTTACTATTTAGTACGGGAGCGTCCCGATTGATCACGGTACGATTGTACATAACCAACCGATGAAAAGAATTATCTAGTGAATTACTAGGTCGAACCAATCATTACAATCTGTGTCCAATCGTATCGTGGTCAATCGGGTCCCATCCATTTAGGGGTGCGTTCAGATTCCTCATCCGGGTGCACTCTATTACTAGAAACACTATAGTATATGTGACATATACTATAGCACTTCTAGTAATAGAATATACCCGGGTGGGGAATCTGAACGCAGACTAGTACGCGTATCAAGTGCACGATGTAAATGAAGCCATAATTACCCGAAAATGAACCATGAGTATTGAAATACTAGATAGTATACCGATCGTGCCTGACGGTACTTTCCCAGCAACGCTTGAGATCGATATTTCGGCCAAATACATGATTTTTTAATATTTAATTAAAATTATCTGGATAATTCACAAATCTTTTTAATGATACTTCTTAACTCTTCATACGAAATACAAACGATACCATACCGAACCTTTGTTTAATTTACCTCCGGTCATTATTTGCGGCTAAATATATGGTTAATTACAAGTAATAGAATGACTCACAAATCTTTTCAATTGCACTTCAAAACTCTTCATACGAAATACAAACGATACCATACCGAACCTTTGTTTAATTTACCTCCGGTCATTATTTGCGGCTAAATATATGGTTAATTACAAGTAATAGAATGACTCACAAATCTTTTCAATTGCACTTCAAAACTCTTCATACGAAATACAAACGATACCATACCGAACCTTTGTTTAATTTACCTCCGGTCATTATTTGCGGCTAAATATATGGTTAATTACAAGTAATAGAATGACTCACAAATCTTTTCAATTGCACTTCAAAACTCTTCATACGAAATACAAACGATACCATACCGAACCTTTGTTTAATTTACCTCCGGTCATTATTTGCGGCTAAATATATGGTTAATTACAAGTAATAGAATGACTCACAAATCTTTTCAATTGCACTTCAAAACTCTTCATACGAAATACAAACGATTTAAAAGAATAGTTTTCCAACCGGAGCTTTTTTCCGGTCAATTACATATAAATATGATTGTGTCGGGAGCGGTGCACTTGGACACGGTGCATTTGGACACAGCCAATCACAGCACCGTGTGATTAGAGACATTTGTAGGGTCCCTTGGAACAGAGACTTGTGATTGGACTGTGTCCAATTGCCCCGTGTCCAACTGATATACATCCGATTGTGTCGACTTGTGTCTCTTGTTGGAAAGCAACCTATAAGATTCGACTATGGCTGCGTTCCGAAATGCACTGCCAGTACTGAAAATCTATAGTTCATGTTACGTATATTATAGAATTTCAGTACTGGCAGTGAATTTCGGAACGCAGCCTATAAATATCGGCCTTAGTGTTTACTTTCACGTCGTAACGCGTTATTATCCGTCAACTGAGACATGACAACAATTTTACTCTTTCAAACTACTTAGAATTTTCGATAAATGTTTAAGAAGTTCTAATTGTTTGACAGATATTGGTATGTTTACGAATGTTTACATTATTAATATACAGCAAATTCGGTTATTCGCATTACATCGAATTAATGCGCATTGAAGGCTGCTCTAATTCGGTATCGTATAGGTTACCTAATTTGCTAATATAATAAGATAATATAGTGATTATTAATACAATTATTATTAATATAGTAAGTATTAATATCGCGTACACATCATGCCGGATTGTTATGCTAAGGGCTGCAGAAGCAGGGCTTGCAATAGCCGAAAGAATAAAACGCAATTGGAATGGGAACAATTTCACGGCCAAAAAATTACATTTCACAGGTAGATGTTAATATAAGTACGTATTGCAAGTTATACATATGTATAAGGTATATATGTTATACTAATAATTTATTTGATATTATTTTTATCATATTATAGAATTCATAAAGGTCTTGAGTTCATCTTTAGATCATAGCTTATTTCTCTTTCATTAGCTACAAGGCATCTCAAGATGAACTCAAAATATTTTTGTGAATTTACCTTTATATTATATCACTTACGCTACTGTCTTATGTCTAGTAACTTATAATATTGATTAAATAATTACAGAATTCCTAAGGACCCAGAAAAACGTACAAAATGGCTTAATATAATGCAATTAAATAATATGAATATACCAAAGAATGCCAAATTGTGCTCGCTACATTTTGCAGAAAGTGATTTTGACAGAACATATGTTAATTGTGTCAGAATCCGGCCTGATGTTATCCCATCTGTAAATAAAATATATAACAAAGAAATTTCAGAGTGATTAAGCCAGTGGTTTACTTGATACTATTCTTACTACATTATAGATAAAATTCATAGATATGTCTTGAGTTCATCTTCAGATGCTGTACAGCTTACTTCTTTCATTGATTACAAAGTATCTCAAGATAGACTCAAGACATGTCTGTGAATTCCACTCTATATTATACTATTTATGTATAATAAAAACTGTATCAAGCAAAACGCTGACCTATCCACTTTCAGATTTCTGTCTGTATATAGACATGGAATTAATTCTATATAATATTCAAGAAAGTATATATTTTATACAGAAAACCACAAATAAGATAGGAGCTTCTTATAAAAAGCAGAAAGATGAAGAAATAAGTGAAGAAATAAATGAAGAAATAAATGGAGAAAATATTAATTTCAAGACAGTTAAAATACTTGATGCAAGAGAAGGTCTGTTTAAAAGAGAATTAATAATAAAAATAGACTATTGTAAACATGGTAGCAATATATACCAGAGTAAGTAATGTAACTAATAATTCTTTATAGATACTGAACAAGATTATTCTGATTTTTTTTTTGATGGAACCTTGATGGAAACCTTAATGGAAAGTACTTTATTAGTACTTTAAGCACTTTTCAAGGTAATTATTATTTCTTGTAAAGATACTCTATTTTCTTGAAACTGGTAATTGTAGGTAATTAATTAATGTCATTAATTGTATTTTTTTACATATAGTAAGTGATGCTGTTCAAACAAAATATACAATACAAAATTAAACATCAAGGAATGGTTATTTTGCCACATTCATTGGAAAATACGCCGAGAAAACCATGACTGAATTGTACTAGTCAATACCAAAAAATATTTTACAAGACAATGAAGTATCTGCGACAAAACCACTGAAGGTCCAAGAAGCACATTGCATTTACAAAAAATATATATGTATATATATTTATTTATCTATTTATTAAATGGGTATAAAACCCTTTGATGTACAGTGTCTGAAAGACATAATAAGAAATAAAAGAAGAGATAAAATACATAATAAGTATTACTCAAGAGTTACAAGACATGATAGGAATATAAATGATATAATACATTTTCTAAATTAGCATGCAGAGAGAGAGAGAGAGAGAGAGAGAGAGAGAGAGAGAGAGAGAGCTTGAACCAACTTGGACCAAAACATTTCAAAGGAGTTGTCAAAGATATCAATCAAAAATGCAAATTTGCTAACTAGTGTAGATATGCAATTAATAGAGTCAATCTTTCATATTCAGTGTAGTGATGTTCTACGTGGAAGATAGTGAGAAAACGCAATACTTTTGGTGGTGCATGTAAATTAAATAATCATAGAATTTCAGGATATATAATTGTTGTGAATAATACTATATAAGAAGAATAGATCAGAAACTACCCTTTTCTCCAAGGTTAATAAGTCATGACGCAAGAGTTCAGATTTATATTTATGGCAATCAACAGGTATAGGAGCACTCATACTTGATGGCAAGACAGAAGAAGCAATGCTATACTTTTTCAATTAATAGCGTATTATTTTTCTTATTTGAGGTCCACAGTATAGATCCATGTTCTAAATGAGGACGAGCTAACGTCAAAAATAGAATTTTAAGTGTATTTACGTTTTTAAAATATTTCAAAGTTCTATAAATTAAATCTAACATCCCATAAGTCGTAATAATTGTTCTAATGTGACAAACAATGAGAAATTAGGAGCAAAGTAGATACCAAGATCTCGTATCATATCAATTTCAGATAAAATTACGCCACTCAACATATTATCATACATATTAACATACATGTACAATACATAACATATTAATTAAAAGTTTGAACAAATTTTATCACAACTGAAATAAATAACATTTTGACATATTAATAAATTGTTGGTTGCACACAATCCTCAAGCCGTACTAGATCTTGCTGCAAGAGAAGCACGCGTCTGTGAAGCTAGCACGACGTTTTACAAATTAAAAAAAAAATGATAGTTTTATTAGCACTTTTCATAATTTTAGAGTTCTAAATAGAAAACAAAGATTTACGCATTTTTAATGCCGAAAACAGCAAATGAAAAATTGTGCTAACTTCGCGAACCTAGCACGACACTTCCCTTCTAAAGTATAAGAAATAAATACCACTACTTTTAGCAAGAGTTTCCGTCAGTTTTGATAGAATTCTATCTGTTCAATTAAAAAAAAAATTTTTAATAGTAATTTTCAATTACGCTTTTTTCATAAACTTGGAAAATACTACACATAGTACTTCTGAGAGAAAATATCATGCAGACTATATCTGGCCGTTCTATTGACAATTCTCAGTTCTAGCAGAGTTTTAGTCCCTACGATCAAATTTAAGAAGAGTACCGGGGTGGCTATTTATTTTATAAATAATTTTTTAATCTTTGAAGTTAGCACGACACTCGTGGAAAAAGTGTTGTGCTGACCATTTTTCGCAGTTCGGTCGACAATTCTCGTTAGTTCTAACAAAGTTCTAGTCCCTACGATCAAATTTAGATAGAGTTCCGGGGGCTACCTCCCACACAACATAAAACGTCTCAGCAATATCTCAGAAATATTACAAATATTATTTTTGAAACATTTTATTTGAGATATTTTTAGAATATTCTATGAATATTTTAAATAAAATATTTCGTATGAAATATTTTAGAAATATTCTATTCGAAATATTACATTGGAAATATTGTGGAAATATTTTGGAGATCTTGCACTACAAATATTTCAGAATATTTGTAATGAAATATTCTAGAAATATTCCATTTGAAACATTATCATTTGCGAAGTTTTTTAAATATTCTGGAAATCTGTCGCGGGAAGTATCTCAAATTAAATATTCTAGAAATATTTTACTTGGAACATTACCTATTGTACACATTTCCATTGTATGTACATTCAAAGATTTCTTGACTTGAAGAAGTCAGTTATTAACACTCAAATTTAGGTGTTTATCCCAATTTTTGAATGTTTACACCCACAATTGAATGTTTTTTGTAAGGATATACTAATAATAATAATGAACACAAGTAATTAAAATGAATAATAATTATTTATTGTTATAATGTGCGTTTGTGTGTGCGTATGCGTATGCGTATGTGTGGTGTGTGTCCAGTTCATTATATATGTGAGATAATTTTGAGACATTGTAGAAATTATTCAAAATATTTGTATATATATTTATATAAAAAAATTTAATAGAAACTACTCTATTTTAAACCATGATACATTATTACTTAAAATCTTTTAAAAAGCAATCTAAGTCAATGAATTGTTTGGAGAAAAACTATATCTTATATCCAGACAGCAAAGAACATCCATAGGACATCCATTTCATGTTCATTTCACATCTGTATGTCCAGGGATATAAAGTGGACGTCCATAGGAGATCCGATTTTGAACATTACGCGGATATCCTCATCAGTATATCTTATGGATTTTTTATATATGTCCAAGATGAAACAAAGTTCAGAATATGTTAGAGAACGGTTTTATATATGTTTTAATAGTTTAGTCAAACAGCACATAATATTTATGATAAAGATTCATAAATATTTATTTTGAATTATTTTTTTTTAATATTATATAAATATTTTATAAAATTTATATACATAAAAAAAGTATCAAAATCTTTAATCAAAATTATTAAATTATTATTAAAATATAGGCTAAATATTTTATACAATATTTATAGTAAACAAACAATAAATATTTGTAGTAATATTTTGTAAATATTTCTATAAATATTATATATGAAAAAAATTAATGTAATTATTTATAATTATTAAATTAATGAAGAAATTAGAAAATTAAAATTTAAATTGGTAATGTACACTGAAACAATTCTTTAAATAAAAAAAATATATTTTGTTAAATATAATTTTTAACTTAAAAAATATTTAAATAGTTACACTTTAAAAAACATGTAATAAACATAAAGTAATATTTTTTTTAAATTTGTAAAATAAGCTGTAAAATTATGAATTTCTAGAAAAAAAATAATTTCCTTACAAGAAGAAAATTTTTTAAATGTAAAAATTGTGTTTAAATATTTGCTTGTTTTAAAGTAAATAAAGTACAAGTAAATCATTTTATAAATCTAAATAAATTTTTAAAAATTTTTTAAATATTTTTTTAATATTAAAAGTATCTTTTGGGTTTCAAATTAAAGTTTCTTTTATTATCAGAAAACAATTTATTTAAATTTACAAAATGATTTATTTGTATTTTATTTACTTTTAAAACAAGTAAATATTTTTTAAATTTATACTTTTTACATACTTTTCAAACATACATTTTACATTAAAAGGATCTATTCTCTTCTTTTAAATAAATAATTTGTTTTCGTACATGGATACAACATATGTATACAATACAAAGCAACTCTCAGGGTGCGATTAGATATATCGCGGAACGTTATAAAGTAATTAGAAACCGCGCGCGGTGAGCCGCGTCTGTTTTCTTCCTACTATTATCGCTCCTGCACACAAGACGCGGTAATGCTTGCCGCGCGGCGGAAGTCCGCGCTACAGCCAATCAATATGTTGTTTTTCCGTAAGAGCTAGAAGGTTATTACGGAAAGCAGCATATTGATTGGCTGTCGCGCGAACTTCCGCCGCGCGGTAAGCATTACCGCGTCCTGTGTGCAGGAGCCATAATTGAGATGACGCGACGCGCGACGTACTTGTTCCAATAGAACGAATTGAATATTTAATGGAAAGTATCAAAATCTTTATTCAAAATATTATTAAAATATAGGCTAAATATTTTATGCAATATCTATAGTAAAAAAAAAATATTTCTAGTAACATATTATAAATATTTTAGGAATATAAAGGAAAAAAGTATCAAAATCTTTATTCAAAATATTATTAAAATATAAACGAAATATTTTATACAATATTTATAATAAATAAAGAATAAATATTTGTAGTAATATTTTGTAAATGTTTCTATTAACAATTATTATACATGAAAAAATAAATGTAATTATTTATAACTATTAAACTAAAAAATAAAAATTCGAAATTTAAATTGGTAATGTACACTGAAAAAATTCTTTAAATTAAAGAAATATATTTTGTTAAATATAATTTCTTACTCAGGCAGCACAAAGACGTTTTAAAAACGTATTAAAAACGTGTGTACTGGACGTTGTATACGTATTTAAAACGTCCATTATAGATCCATAAACATTTTTAGGACATTTTAAAAATATCCGTTGTTACTTTTGTGGATGTTCAAAAGACATCCAAATTAGGGACCCACCGGACTAAAACTGTATGTTCTCAGAACGAAAATAAAATGTTTGTAATTTTGAATATTGAATGTTCCTAATCACCAAAAGAATATTTAAAAGACATTTGAAAAAGCATTTTTAAAAACGTTAAAAATAATGAGATACCCAGACAGCACAAAATATTTACAAAATATTTATAAAATTTATTTGAATATTTTATAAATATTTACCAAAATATTTCATAAATATTTTTATAACCTTAGCTTCAATAGATCATAAATATAAAATATTTATTATAAATATTATAAAGATATTAAAATATATAAATTTATATACTTTTTCCATTTTCTGAACTTTTCTTCAATTTTTTAAATATACAGGGTGTCTCACACTCTTCTCCGGGCATTTTGTGAGGACGTAGAACAGGTTGAAGTGAACATAAAAGTCCTATACCGTTTTGCGATATTCGCAATAATTATTGAGATATTAATTATAGAAAATTTGTGAATGATCATGCAAGGTAAATGAGTTATAATAGCGACGACTGCTGTCGTGTATTTATACTTTAGGTCAAATTGAACAAAAAAGTCCTCTACTATTTTCCAAATAATTACATAGATTTTTAATTATTAATTAAAGAAGATTATTGCACGATTTTGCGTGAAGATGCACTCATCTTCTTTAATTAATAATTAAAAATCTATGTGATTATTTACAATATGGTAGAGAACTTTTTTGTTCAATTTGACCTAAAGTATAAATACGACGGCAGTCGTCGCTATTATAACTCATATCCTGCATGATCATTCACAAATTTTCTACAATTAATATCTCGATAATTATTGCGAATATCGCAAAACGATGTAGGACTTTTATGTTCACCTCAACCTGTTCTACGTCCCCATAAAATTCCCGGAGGAGAGTGTGAGACACCCTGTATATGTTCTTAGTTTTTATTTTATATTGTTTCACACGTTACTTAATTTAAGTTAAATTTTACTTTGAAAATTTGCTTACCATTACCGAAATTCCTGAAACCTCTGGTTCTTGAGTTGTTCACCTTACCTACTGCACCATTATCACTTTGAGAGACGCTTTCTATGGTATAGATATAATATGTTTATGTACGAAAACAAATGATTTATTTTAAAGAAGAGAATAGAAATGTTTTAAATGCAAAATGTATATTTGAAAAGGGTGTAAAAAGTATATTTAAAAAATATTTGCTTGTTTTAAAAGTAAATAAAATACAAATAAATCATTTTGTAAATTTAAATTAAAGTTTCTTTTATTATCAAAAAACAATTTATTTAAATTTATAAAATGATTTACTTGTACTTTATTTACTTTTAAAACAAGCAAATATTTATTTTACCATAGTTCTTACATAAGAAAACTAATTTTCTTCTTGTAAGGAAGTCATTTCTTTCGAAAAATTTATAATTTTACAGCTCATTTCACAAATTTAAAAAAATATTATTTTATATGTATTACATATTTTCTAAAATCTAACACTTTTTTTAAGTTAAGAAATTATATTTAACAAAAAATATATTTCTTTGATTTAAAAAATTTTTACAGTATACATTACCAATTTAAATTTCGATTTTACTATATTTTCATTGATTTAATAATTATAAATAATTACATTTATTTTTTTATGTATATTATTTATAGAAATATTTATAGTATACATTGTAGGTATTTATAAAATATTGCTATAAATATTTATTTTTTATTTACTATAAATATTGTATAAAATATTTAACTTATATTTTAATAATATTCTGAATAAAGATTTTGATAATTTTTTCTTTATAGAAATATTTATAAAATATTTATGTAATATTTAAAAAAAAAATAATTCGACCTAGGTATTTATGAATCTTTAATAAATATTGTGTGCTGTCTGAGTAAATTTCTTATTTTCATTAAGAAATGTTTTCCTTAACGGATTGGAAAAATGTTGTTTTTTTTAATATTTAATGAATGTTAAACTTCTATTAAATATTAAAAAACGAAACATTTTTTAAACGTTAAAAAAATGTTTTTTTTAATAAAAAGTGGAAACTTATCCCATTATTTTTAACGTTTTAAAAAATATTTTTAAAATGTTTTAAAATGTTTTTATTGTTTTGTTAGTTGGGTTTTTCTATTAATAATGCAAATTGAGGGATTAGTTTTTTCGCAATTTTCAAAAACTCGTAATGATAACTTTTTTGATGGAACTAACCAATCATATCACCGTTTGACAGATACAATTGTTCCAATAGAGAAGATAAATTTAATCGATTGTTTAAATTTATTCGTGTTGGTGAAACCGGCTTATACTATTAATAAATAAAGGCATTTGTAAGCTCAACATATGTTCCTTAGAAATACATAAAATGGACGTCTTTAAAACGTACAAAAATCAACATTAAATAAACATTTAAATATTTTGTACATCCACTAATTTACGTAATTAAAACGTCCATATTAGGTTCATGGACGTTGGGACTAAATAAAAACCAAAATCAAACGTCCATTGGACGTCTTGCGCTGTCTGGGTAACTTAAAAAATATTTGTTAGATTTTAGAACACATGTAATAAATATAATGTAATATTTTTTATTTATAAAATGAGATGTAAAATTATGAATTTCTAGAAATTCATAATTTATGAATTTCTAGAAATTTCTAGAATTTCTAAATGTATCTTTTTTCTGTTTCAAATTAAAGTTTTTTTTATTATCAGAAAACAATTTATTTAAATTTATAAAGTGATTCATTTGTATTTTACTTACTTTTAAAACAAATAAATATTTTTTAAATATACTTTTTACATACTTGTTACACATACTTTTTATATTTAAAAGGATCTATTCTCTACTTTTAAATAAATCATTTGTTTTCGTATAAGGATATATCGTATGTATATAATATAAATCGTCTCTCAGTTAAAGTGACAGTGGTGAAGTAGGTAAGGTGAACGACTCAAGAAGCAGAGGTGGTGTTAGGTTCGAATCCCAGCATGGTAAGCAAATTTTCGAAGTACAATTTAAATTGAATTAAGTAGCGTGTGAAACAATAAAGTGGAAAATTTAAGAAAAGGCCAGGAAAAGAGAGAAATGTTTATATTTTTATAAATATAAACGTTCTGTTTATATTTTTTCGGTATCTTCTATAAATATTCATAACTTAATATATAGAATATTCGGTAGATTATTCTATTCAGATTCTGAGAATATTTAAATTAGTGCCATTCGAATGTTCTACGAATACACAATGAATATATACGAATGTCCTATAGAATATTCCAAATATTCTTGAAGAATATTCTTAAAATTCATAGGATTGTCTTGTGCTATTTGGATATAGTTAAAAAAAGTCAAAAAATAACTATATGTAATATTAAAATATACAAGGTCTTCCAAAAGTGTGAAAATCCCTTATACAGGGTGGCCCACTGAAAACGAAACAAACATGATTTTTGGCATTTAACTAATTTATTTAAAAAATGCTCGGACACGTCAACTTTAGTTTCAAGGGAGATATGTTAATTGGCGATTTCCATATGCCAAACTTCAACCCTATATGAGGAGCTCATTTTACCATAAAAATTTTAAATGACAAGGGCTCTAGCAATATACCATTTGAAAGAGCGATTAATTCGCTTTACAATAGGTTTTTATTTTTTTAATTTTAATCATTATTTCCCGAGTAATTATAACAAATCAATAAATAAAAAATTATGAAAATAAGTGGATGTGTAGCATTATTCTGTAATAATTCATCATCTAAAGATCCTAGAAACGCCAAATTAAAACAAATATAAAAAATGAAAAGAACCAAATATATAATTGTTACTTACCGTTTGTTAAATTATAAACAAAAAATAAAATTTAATGTAATAGAAAGTAATAATGCACATAACATTTATGAGAAAATCATGTACTCCAATGAAACAATACTAAACTAGCAATTTATATATCAACATAGTAAATGTTGGAAATAACCACCAACTTCTATACAATAATAAAGATTTTGTCAAAACGTTGTCGCACATATATATACAGATAAATAAATACAACGAAATATTAAGAGTTTTCTACACTTTTGGAAGACTCTGTATATTTATATTTAAAAATGTGTCTTATAATAATAAGTAATGAAAGATGTTAATGTAATGAGAGAAATGTAAAATAATGCATGTAAAATATAGTAATACTGATTTGTTTAGGAAAAGAATAAAAAAAACTTAAAAGATTACACTTATATTAATCAATATAATGAAACTTTATGAACAAAACTTACTATTTCTTACTATGCACCAAATATTATACGAAAAAGTGAACCAGTATGGCACAGCTTTTGCACTAATAAAAGTAATACAAATTAAGAACTTTTTATCTCATCCAAATATTCTACTTCTTCGTAATTCAAATTATCCGTCTGATTACTTATTGCACAAAATCTTTCAATAGCTGCAGCAATTCGCTCTTTTGCAATAACATCACGTTCCATAAGTTGAATTTTTTTGTGATAATATTGCTTCTGTAGCTCTAAATCACTTTGTATATTTCCACTTAGATATTTTTTATATGGTAGAGTTTTATCAAATTGTTGAGATTTATTCCTTGTTACATTATTATCTATTGATGTCATACTGCTTTCTGACTGTGGACCTCCTCCAGTTTTTTTTAAGTTTTTGTTAATATTGGTTTTCTTCCCTTTCACTTTAGTTTTCATATCATGCCAAGCCTATAAAATTTTAAAAATATAATTAAATATGATACAACACACCTATTGATATTCTATAAACCACCTTCTATGACAGAGATATACAAATTCTATTAGAATGTTCACAAAGAATCATAGACAAAGATGATGACATTACTTAGTGTATAAATTAAATCTAATGAATTCAATTAGATTAAAAAATCAAACCCAACTTTTTGACTGATATAATATTTTGTATAACATTAACCTTTCGCCATTGATACCAAGTCTTTTTAGCACCAGGAAGGGCATTTAATTTATGAGTAATTTCATTCCATAATATTTGAGCATCTTTATACGAAAATTTCGATGTAAACTTTGCTGATATTAATTCTGGATGGACACTTAAATACTCTAATAGCATTTCTTTCTGTCCAGCGGTTATATTTCCAGCTCGTTTCTCTGACATCTTAATCTTAATATTATCGCGTCCGACCGACCAGGCCGCCCAGCCGGTAATAAATTTTTGTCCAAACTATCCTTTGCCTGAGACACTCCAGTTACGAAACCTTCCTTTCCTAAAAGGAAGGTATCTCAGATGGCATCACCACCATTCAGGTCCCCTCCTAGGATGCGTTCAGATTCTTCATCCGGATGCACTCTATTACTAGAAACACTATAGTATATGTTACATATACTATAGCACTTCTAGTAATAGAATACACCCGGGTGTGGAATCTGAACGCAGCCCTAAAGGGGATCACAAGAGCTCAAGGTAACGATCATGAATCTTTCACGTGAACTTCATTTTCATTTTTCACTTTTCACTGTAAATTATTTCACATAAAAAGTAAACAATGAAAATGTGGAAAGCAATACTTATGTAATATAGATTATTAAAATTAAAATGTAATTACAGTATACAATGTAATATATAACACATTAATAAGCATTATACAACTTAAATTTATAGTTATAATATAATATAATAATACAATATGAGTAAATTTAATAAATGAGACGAACGTTAACCGTGAAAGGTGAATTCTCAAAACGTGAAATATTTCACGTAAACTTTCAGTTTGCTCGTATATGTCTTTTACATGTAAATTGTGTAAGTTTCCATGAAAATTTTTAAGCATCAAACGATGTGGTTTAAATATGAAAAATAATGTAATACTACACTCGCATATTATGTACAGAGTAGAATTTCTTATAGTGACTTTAATTTTTATGGTTATACGACAATTGGCATTTGACATAAGAATCCTACGTCCATTAAAGGGTACGTTCAGATTCCCTACCCGAGTGCACTCTAATACTAGAAGTGCTATAGTATATGTAACATATACTATAGTGTTTCTAGTAATAGAGTGCACCCGGGTAGGGAATCTGAACGCACCCAAAAATGAACAACGAAAGCCGAATGAAGTGATGACGTATAGGCAGTGAAAGTATACCGACGAAGTTTGCAAAGTTAAAATACGTATGCATCAGAAAGTTAAATATTAATAATGTAATATATTATAAATTGTATGCAATAAGTAAAATGTAAGTTTATTTTATGTATTTATTGCATGTATTTTATGTATTATTTTATATGAAATATATATTTTTTGCAGATTTATAATTTTAATATTAATAGAATATTTTATTTTTTCATAATTTATCCTAAAGTAATCCCAGACAAGCAGATTTCCAAGGGACGTTCTAAAGACATCACTATGTCTTAAAAACATGCTGAAAAAATTCTAAAGATGTCTATTGCAAATTGGTGTTGTCTTGAGTATATTATAATATTTTTTTTTAATTACAAATTCACGTTAAATCTTTCATTTTTCATGAGTTTAGTGAAGATTTTCATCTTTCACGAGTTTATTACAAAATCTTCACTTTTCACGAGTTCATACTAGGGGAAAAGATTTATGATCGCTACCCAGATTACGAGTATACGTCTTATGCAGGATTCACACCGTGTCCAATATCCGACGAACGACGTCCGATGTCCAATAGAAGAACAGCATTTTAATATAGAATTCAATTCTCTATTGGAAAGCTATTCTTTTATTGGATATCAGACGTCGGACATCGGATGCGGTGTGAATCCTGCATTACGTTACTGTTATGTCAATTCGTGTGTGGCGCCCCTTGTCCACAACCTTACTTTAATCTTTAAGCCGTACTAAATTGACCAACCAATTATTTAAAAAATAATCAACTGTGGTTAGTAAATTTCTTACGGTTTAAGAATTAAAGCAAGGTTGTGGACAAGGTTTAGAGGTGTCTATATTGGAAGTAAGCAGTAACAAGTAGTAAGTAAGAATAAGTAATTGGCCAATCATAGTTGATTATTCTTCTCACATTCGACTGTGGTTGGTCAATTTCTTACTCTTATTTTCTACTTCTTACTACTTTCTTCCAATGTAGACGTCTCTTTACTCTGCATGTAATTTTATTTTAAATGCAGGGCAGTGATCACGTAACTTCAAACGGAACTTTTCACTTTTCGTTCTATCGATTTCACGTGAACTTTGTCATTGTTCACGTAATCAAGTAACTCTATGCGTGAAAAACACAAATCGCTAAACATGGTTCCTATATGATTTCAATATCGATCAAATCAGTTGTATCCATCGGTTGTAGAACATATAACCTTAAAAACATTGCTATAACCTTAGAATTGTTATGTTTCCTGTATCTCATCACAGCAGTAGCATAATATATTCCGTATTCATCATGTCACTAGATTTTCACTTTTCCGCCAGTATATTTCATGACTAACAAGTTCACGTGAGAAGTTTCACGTTTCTACGCTTCGACGAGTTTAGTGATCACGAGTTCACGTGAAACTTTTCACTTTTCACGTTTCTACCTTAGGGGAAAAGTTACATGATCGCTGCCTAGAGACATGGCCACTCTCATTCTTCTCTCTGATTTACATAAAGTTCTACAATTATTTAAAATACGCACATATCCCAAATAGCACAAAGAACTCAAAAAGAATTCAGTTATGTGTCATCAATTCTGAGTTTATTTGGTGCAAAAAGAATTCTTTTTACTGAACTGAACTCTGAATTCTTTTTGTATCTGAAAATGAACTCAGAATTGGTTACATACGACTGAATTCTTTTTGAATTTTTTTTTAATTCTCTGTGCTATCTGGGTATGTTATCTGCATCGAATATAAAAATACAAAATGCGACATCTATAGGTGATTAAGTGAGTTTATTTGTCGATTTTCATCATTCTGTGAATCGATGCATCGCATACGTCCATTGAATAATTTGCAATTTACCCTGCAATCTGCATTATTCATGAAGGTATCTATGACTTCGGCTCGTCCTTTATTACGCACATTCGTAAGTGTATTGTAATTAACGATAATGTACAGCTTATCGTATTAACTTGTAATTGCTGCAATAAATCTATTGTCATCACATACATATAAATTGTCTATTATACTCTATATCATTCTATAAATTGCTAAGCCATGATCATAGCTGTAGTTGACGGCGCCAAAATGTAATAGAGGAGCAAAGTTCACGTACGTTACACAGAGTAATCTCAGGTGAACGTGTGATTATCATACATATCGAATAATGCCTTATTATGTGATAAGGTAAATAATAGATTTTTCAAGTAATATGAGAGTTTGCTCTTCTGTAAAAACATTGGTTAATTAGGTGGTTTGTAAGTATTAATAAAGCTCGAAGACACTGTGTTACGTACACACTTGCATAATACACAACTCATTTAATTATATAATATACTAGTATACTTACTGTATTCAATATATTAAATAGTATACTGTATAATATTTTATATGTATATATTTTATGTATACATATATATTAAATACTTTGTTATGTATAATATGTATATACACTAAAAAAGATATTTGTTTTTCTAGTCTGTGAAGTATAAGCAAGTGAACATGAATAATCCTAGACTAAAGGCTGAAGTAGTGCTATCAGAATCAAATCGAAAAGTGTGCATTGAGAAACTTCGGTCTTATCAATTACCAAGTGTACAGGAAACTGTTCCAGAAGCTGCTGTTTTAGTCCCGTTATGTATGCACAATGGAGAACTTGGTCTCTTGTATACTCTGAGATCTATGAAACTCACGACCAATCGAGGACAGGTTGGTTACTTTATGCTAATAAAAAATTCAATAAGTTGATTTAGTGGTTTTTAACTATTTTACTGGCTATTTGAAGTTAAGTTTTTAGCTTGTTTATTATTAATATTTAATTATAAAATTACTAACTGATGTGAAAGAGTGTTATATAATTTATATATCAAGTCTTATTTTAGCATAACAAGCCAGCAATCAAAATAAGATTTGATTTTCACAAGAACATCTTTTACAGGTGTCTTTCCCTGGTGGTAAACGAGATAAGGAAGATTCCGATCTGATAGAGACTGCCTTGCGAGAAACTTGGGAAGAGTTGAAGATCTCCAGGGATAAGATTGACGTGTGGACTGAAGGGAACATGATTGGGAAGACCACTGTGAACGTTATGCCTGTGTTAGCTTATATCGGCGAGATTGTAGTAGAAGATTTGGAGATAAACCAAGACGAAGTAGAGGAAGCATTCGTGATTAGCTTGCAGAAACTATGTGATCCTGAGCTGTTTCGTTTCACGCGTTTTCGAAATATCAATTTGCCGACTTATTTGGGCGGCAAGCATCGTGTCTGGGGATTCACTGGTGCGATCACCCATGTAGTACTCGAATGCTTGGTACCAAACGTTTACAAAAACGTGTTCCGTTTCTATCAGCTTCGAGAAACAAAGGCCTCAGATATCTTACATGCTGAAAGTCAAAAGATGAAAGTCGAAAGAAAGTCAGCTAATCAGAAAAATACTTTGTCCAAAATATGAAGGTAAAAATGGAGATTAGGAAACAATTGACAAAAAATGTTCTACATTCACTTGTACTAGTTGGAATTGTTTATGGTAATCCATCAGAGATATTTTTCTTAAAGTATCGAACGTGTTTTTATATTCTCATTGAAATTACATCGATTTAAAATTTATTTGAATCATATTTTGTTATTCACTATTAATACTGCTTTCATGATTGTGATTTTGTTACTCACCGATGAACAAAAACGCGCTAACATTAGCAGTGAATAACGAAGCAGTCTTTAATTTATTATTATCTAAATTTAGACGAAAAATAGAAGCTATGATAATTATATTTATAGTCATTAATCCCAATTCTGTTGACTCTAAATAAAATAGAGTATTATAAGGATATGCAAAACAATATACGGGTACGTTCTAGGCGCATATAGGTTCTTCAGGAAAACTTAAAGTAAATGTAGCTATATTTTAATATATATATATTTAAAAAAAAAAAAAAAAAAAATATATATATATATATATATAAAATACATATTGTACTTGCGATCTTAATTATTACAATTAGCAGAATGACTTTATTATAAATATATTTTTCTAACGTTATAACGGAAAACTGATAGAAAAATGGATTATGTATATATAAGTGTACATATATTAATATTTTACCTTTTTTTCTTAACATGAATATTTGTTTATATAAAAATGTTTGTTAATAATCAATTTTATTTCATCTTAAATATTTTACTCTTCTATTCTCATCTTCTGTAATATACAATGGACTACAATTTGAGCAAAAGTAATAATAATGAGATGGTTTCAGAAGCATCTCACAGTTTAGAGTCTCTATAGGAATATTTTTGAATATAATGTTTATCTCTCCCTATATATTTTTTATAACATAAATATATATAGGGTGTCTCACATTCTCCTCCGAGCATTTTGTGGGGACGTAGAACAGGTTGAGGCGTTATTATTAATTAAAGAAGATGAGTGCATTATCAAAATCGTGCAATAATCTTCTTTAATTAATAATTAAAAATCTATGTGATTATTTGGAAAATGGTAGAGGACTTTTTTGTTCAATTTGACCTAAAGTATAAGTACACGACGGCAGTCATTGTTAATATAACGTATTTACTATATTCTGCATGATCATTTACAAGTTTTCTACAATTCATATCTCGATAATTATTGCGAATATCGCAAAACGGTATAGGACTTTTATGTTCACCTCAACCTGTTCTACGTCCCCACAAAATACCCGGAGGAGAGTGTGAGACACCCTGTATATAAAATCCGCGAGCGTCAAGTGTTCAAATTTTTTATAAAATTTATCAAATTACAATACATAAAAATATTGTATAAGGGTGAAATTACGTGATGAATAAAAAAGCTGCGGAATAGAGGGTGCGTCATAGAAGTAACCAATCAGCGCTATGCCGCTTTTTTCTATCGCAAATTTTTGTGTGCAGGGGGTCGATCATGAATCTTTTCCTCTAGTGTGAATTCGTGAAAAGTGTAAACAAGTGTAACACTTTTGCACTCGTAAAATGTGAAACATGAAAAGAGATACTAAGGTTGCGTTCCGAAATTCACTTTCAGTACTGAAAATCTATAATTTATGTCACGTATACTATAGAATTTCAGCACTGGCAGTAAATTTCGGGACGCAACCTAAGTCGTAACTATCCCAATTACTATAGCTTTAAGCACATAGTGGCAGTAAATATGCTTATTTTGTAGTTATATATATATATATATATATATATATATATATATATATATATATATATATAGTGTAGTAAAAAGAAATCCATTATTTCTCCAATAGATGGCTTTAGTAATGTATGTCTCGCGTTGTATAAGTGCGATCGGGTTACACTAGATGGCGTTAGAAAGATAAGATTTCGTATTAAAAAAACTTCTCAGACAGTTTTGTGATTGTTTGATTCAGTATTGTTTGAGCGCGCGTCAAAGATGGACACCAGCAAAGAG